ATGTATACCATTCAAGTTCAAGTAATGTTTTTTAATTTAATTTAATATTTTATTTTCCAAGGTCATAAAAAAAGGTATTCTTCTTGCTAAATAGATAAAGAAAATGAACGTTTACAAAACGCAATAAATATTTTACTGCACAATGCGTTTAGTTTTCAAATTAAATCCCATTTCATAGGCAACCAACGAAGAAGATAAAACTGGAGTTTATTTCAAAACGGTATATCAGAAAGTAAACGCAAGAGAACCGTATTAACGTTTATTCAATATTGAATTAGACTCCACAGCGCTAAAGCAATAAAGTGACTGAGTGACTTTGCCGTCAAACGTTTGAGGACAAGATTACGAGGCAAGAATTTGAAAAGTACACTCGCAAGTGCTTGCTCTTCATTTTGTTAACAAGGTTCTACAAATTATATAAAATGCCATTGATGTTCCCTTTTGTTTACATTGTTTGAAGCAGATTGGCTGTGTTCGGACCCCACAAACATTTATGACCAGGGCCTGTGTCGGGGCCAATCGTGTCGCAGCGGCGTACAATACAATGGCCATTCCGTGGCGAGCCAATTCGCAAAATCGCCTGTCACCCTAACAAAAGCCCATTGAAAACAAAGAAACTTATCTATATTCTTTTAAATGGTTATACGTGGTAGAGCCATGCTGCAGTTATATTAGTAGTATCTTCGATCAACAATGTTGATCGAAGAGTAGTATAGTTGCAGCACGAATGGGTCGGCTCGACCGGGGAAGGACCACGCTCTCACAGAATACCAGCGTCAAATAGTAGCTTAATGCTGCTGTGTTTCGTATGGTGAGTGTAGAGAACCGGAGACCCTTTTAACTGGAAACGAGGCATTCCATCTTAGTCCTCACGGGTGACAACGCATCTGTATTTTGATTCGTAATCCAAGATAGATGTCATCAGGTGGCCTGTGTGCTCGTTTGTCACACTGTCCTATATAAAAAAATTGTTTCAACGTTACTTTGATCGAAATGTAGACAACAAAGAAATGAGTTTATGAATTCCATAGCACACCCGTAATAAAATAAAGCGTTAAAGGTATTTTTAAATAGAAACGGTCGCGAGAGCGCTAACGCTTCCTCCAAACAAATAAATATGCAGTAGTAGTTACGTGTGGGAAAGAGAAATTTGCAATTGTGAGACAGCTCGAGCCAATGCTGACCTCACGATTTCAATTGTCCATGCGAATTGTTACGAAGAAACTAAACGATGTCGCGAGCCAGGCAATTATAGTTTTAAATTCAAGGTCAGAAATGTTCCGGAACCTATTCGATATCGCTAGGGTCAAAATCAGACCGAAGCAATAGTATTGTCCTACAATTGCTTGAAGACTATTGTTGGTTGGGACATTTCGTGATTTCCAAGGAAGATACCGTTATGAAACATCGTTTAATTCAAACCTGGAATTCCAAATTGCAGAAGCAACAAATTTGACACTACTTACTTTGTCACAGCGATACTTATCACGGAGAACGAACAGGTGTTTGGAAGTTGATTTATAGCTGTTCAAGATTACTGTTTGACAATGCTTGGGACTATGATTTGATTAATGATTATTTAAGCGAATACTACATTGAAGTAACATAAAATAGATAACCGTTTTTACATTACTAGATCATTGACTCCATTATTGCATTCAATAGTAATGAAGTTAATAGTTCTTCAATATTAAGGCGATCGTTTTCTTTCTTTTTTTAATATTACAAGCCAGTGCTTGATTACTATTTCACCTGATAGCATATGTTAATGCAGTCGAAGATCAGAAGCGCACTGATTTAGCTTAACAAAAGCCTATTCACTGACTATACATACTTGTATTTGTCCAGCATGAAAAAAGCATGCGACTGTCGGTGGACAAAAAGTTACCTTATTTGAAACGTTTTTGCTTATTATTAGAAAATAAAGGATCTATAAATGTAGCCGATGATTCTAGTGCAATAAAATACCTTTCATCGATAAATAATATATTGTTATCACTTGAAAAACGAGAACTAAGTAAAACGTTAAAGTTTTTTCCCGGCAAATGAATTATAATTTTTTTATCTTAATATAATGGACTAGCGATCTGTCCCGGCTTCGCTCAGGTGATATCTGGATTCTACAATAGCGCCACCTACCGGGCCCAACTATGCCTTTAACCTTTGCGGAAGGGAGCAATATGTTGACTAAGTTTTACCGCAGTCTGATGAACGATATGGCAGCGGATAAAATACGAACAAACAAAAATAATTTTTTGTATATTAGATTTTAAAAATCCATTCGATAAAAAAATTGAGTATTTCATGTACGTGAATATTTTCTCAGCATATACTATATACAGAAGTATCAACTCTCGTTTGTCTACAATACGATATTTTGTCCAACTTGTTCTTTGGGAATGAATAAATATAAATAAAGTCAATAAACTTAAGTGGTTCTCGAGTGGATACCTCGTACCGGTAGGCCCTACAAGAAGGAGTGACGACCAGGTAAGACATGCAGGAAGTGGATGGAATCACGTGGCTTAGGACCGTACTTTGTGGCATTTCTCGGGGGAGGTCTAGGTTCAGCAGTGGACTTGTGAAGGGCCGTAATGATGATGAATGCTAATAAGGAATTGGCCGTTTGATGGTGGAGAAGACTCCAAATCCATTACCCTTTTTTCTCGTAAGAGGCGCCTATGCGAAATGCTATAAAAATCTTATGGCTACATACTGGTGGTATATGGCAGTACAAACTGTTTGCTTACGCCAAACGTAAAGTGCCCAAACCAGCCATAGGCAACAGCGTCAAAGGTGCGAGACGTCTGGTACTTCGATAACCAATCCGCTAGCCAAGCGTGATGGTGAAGACAAATTCTCTAAACACAAGGGTAGACGCTTGCGTCCAGTAACTTAAGGGCTTAACGAGAAGAATGTTTTTGTCGTAAGATCTATCTTTTTTATAGAATAAGGGTGACAAACGAGTACACAGTCCACCTGATGGTAAGTAGATGCTGTGTCCCATGGACATCTACATCTATCCTCGATTAAGAATCAAAACGCAGATGCGTTGTGACCCCTGAGGACTAAGATGGAATACCTCGTTTCCAGTAAAAGGATCTCCGGTTCTCTACACTAAAAATATGAAACACAGCAGCATTGAGCTGATATTTTTCGCTGGTATTCTGCGAGAGCGTGGGCCTTCTCCGGTCAAGCCGACCCGTTCGTGCGAAAACCACAATATAGATGCAGCATGGCTCTACCACGTAAAATTATTTTGCAATGACTTTGTGATAAGTTACAGTAAAGGTGGTGATTATGAATGTTAATATAGAGCAAATAGACCCTTTCGACTTATTTAATTAAATAAATCCATAAAATACGTACAACTAAGCAACCATTAACTGAAGGCAAGCGCCATATAAATCTCGCGTCCGGCCGACTAGAATTTCATCTTCGACAGGACGCATCCACATGGTTAATTGTTGTTAGTTATTTATCGCAGCCCCTTTGGTCTAGTGATCGAAAGCGCGACTGCGGATCACGAGGTCACGGGTTCGAATACAGGTTCGACCAAAATCCGATATTTTAAATAAGTTTATTATATTATATTTATTTAAATAAATTTATTAATTTACGGTTGAAATTAACTTAAAATTAATTAAATTAGCACTTATCCTCTGACTTGCTATAGCTTATAAATGAAGTGAATACGTTCTTAAGACATTTTTAGCTGGTACATTCGCAGAGGGCCTACACCCAAGAGTGGACCGTAGAATTTAAAAGGCTAGTGATGTTATACATTTTTGGTTTTTGATATTTGGGTGGATACTAGGGATAAGCCGAATATGGATATCACCGAATACGAATATTCGACCGAAACTTCGGTAAAACTTTTACCGAACCGAACTTTCAGCCAAACACTATTCGGCAGGATCACCTAGGTATAAAAAACAATTTATATCGAAACTTGTTACCGTGAAGCGCGCAGGATTAGCACCGGACCCTGCCCTTCGCTCATCATCTAGTACTGAGCAAATTGCCGGCACATGTAATTTATGTTTCGACTATTTTTGTGAGATAAAAAACCATTTCGTTGTGTTATTCTTAGTAAAAATTGATAATTATATGATAAAAATGAGTGGCAGAAGATCTACTATTTGGACTTATTTTAGAGAAACTGATGACCAAAGTAAAGTGAAATGTACTAATTAATGTAATGTTTCTTTGTTTTTTTTTTTATAGAATTACGGTGACAAACGAGCACACAGTCCACCTGACATCTGCATTTAACCTCGATTAAGAATCAAAATGCAGATGCGTTGTCACCCCTGGGGACTTAGATGGAATGAATGCCTCCATTCCATTAAAACGGGTCTCCGGTTCTCTACACTCACCAAACACAGCAGCATCAAGCCGCTATTTTACACTGGTATTCTGTGAGAGCATGGTCCTTCCCCGGTCGAGCCGACCCTTTCGCACTACAACTATAATATAGCTGCAGCGTGGCTCAACCACGTATAAATAATTCCAGAACCATTTTATCAAGCTTTCTATTTCCTATAATTGGAAATAAATCCACAGTGCCTGAAAAACATAACGCTATACAAGTAGATTGAGCCCAATAATAAAATATACATACTTTCATCAGAAAAAATTTGAAAGACATGGCATGACTCAATTTGTACATTTCAACACAGTGGACACTTTCAGTACCACTTTAACGTATGTTTGGTGATAAATCACCAAACATACGTTAAAGTTAAGCCGAATATTCGGTAAAGCTGCCGAATACCGAATACGAAACGAATATTCGGCCCATCTCTAGTGGATACGCTGTTATTTTCTGTCTCCTGATGATGCATCCGCGCATACTTGTAATCTAGGATAGGTTCGGACACGTAATGTGTCGATATTTGAGCATAAAATGTGACGAAAAAATGTACCAGAAATATTCATAAATTGCCACTTTTGTTGAAAATAGAATTAGTATACAAACATTGAGAATAGGCACTTACGAGTGGTCTTTTAGTATCGCCTCGAGTCGTCCTGTATGCGTGTTCCAAACGTATACTGATCCATCAGCAGCGCCAACAGCGAGCAGCCGCCCCGCCGGACCGAAAGCCGCTCTCGACCAGTCACAACCCACTTTGAACGACTCGTGGCTGAAATGAGCACACTAATTAAGCCGACGTTTACACATAGAAAGAATTAAGATATTATTATTCGTTATGGTCTTTGAAAGAGAAGAAAGTAAAACTATATGTGAAATAATAGAAGGGGAGTTGATGGAGCAAGTAGATGAATTTATATATTTGGGATGCGTATTAAGAAACGATGGGAGATATGATAAGGACATAGAACGACGAGTGAACGCAGGAAATAAGAGTATTTGGGGCCCGGCCCTACACTCTATTGTGGAAAGTCAGAATGTGTCAAAAATGGCACGTATGGCAATTCACAATGCTGTGTTGGTCCCTACTTTAACGTATGGTAGTGAAAGTTGGGTGTAGCAGAAGAAACACGAGAGTAAAATAAACACAGTAGAAATGCGGTCGTTAAGGAGAATGTTAGGGCTTGGCGATATATTAAAAATGGTTCAACTTAGGAGTACCCTTAACCGAGGAGCATGTATGCGTAAGTATATGGATGTGGAGGAGGTGAGAGAGGTGTGTCAGATCGTGCCTAATGGAAGTCTGTAGTCTTTGCCTACTCCTCCGGGTGAGAGGCGTGAGTGTTGTATATATTATATATTATTCGTATCAAGTAAGTAGTAAGTAAGTAAGGCATGGTATGCTATGGTATGGTATAATGTAGCTGTTGACTGTAGAGGTCGGTGTTTGTCTAATTACAATACTCAAAACTGCAATTTGTAAAATACATAATGATGACATTCACATCAATGTAATCAATACCCAGATCGGCAGCGGGGAGCAGGGAGATCTGACTTATCCTTCTCGCGATGGGAGAGTATTAGAATTTACCTTAGTTACAAGTTGAGTGCGGGCCGATGATGATATACGCATTATTTTTAGGCACAAAACTTAGAAATTTTTTTGAAAAAACCACCTTTACTTTGATACACCCTTAAAATGACAGCCATTTTATGTTTCAATTTGAATTATCCCCTAGCTAAAGAATTGGGGAAAATAAAGAAAATGAGGGGAGCACCGCTTGCCAGTACAACGCTGCCACTCGAGAACCTTTATTGACCATCGGTTGTCGGTTCTTCGAGCTGTAAATAGCCGTTCCATTGCTAATTCAGTCTATTGATCTGATGAGCTGTGATCAGTTCTCTTGTCCTTCTGCGGATATGACGCATGGTGCTCTCCGAATATATAGTTTTAATTTATTAAAACCACTCTAAATATATTTTTAACGCATGGATTCATAATAGTTTTATTGCTGCGTTTACATCACACATTTTCACAGGTTTATCATTTTTCACAGCAGATATCACGTATCTGTATCCTAACGACGAAGAAAGGATTATTTTGAAATAAGCTAGTTGAAAATTTATGTAAATTTTAAACACCGCTATAAAATAATGGTAGACGAATTATGTATGATGTTTATTACTGTTGAGCGACTATGAATAAATTAAAATATCTAAATTAATTTCCTTTGATTTAATTAAGGCGAGGTGTTGAAATATTAATTACCTATTAAAATTGATAAAATTTATGGATTTTATAAAAATTTTTGCACAAGATGTAAAAATACCTGAACGATCGAACAATCGTATTCATCCGCAAGTCTATTAATTGTATAGTGTCGTCTCTCACACACGCCAGTAAATAATTGCTATCTGAAACAAAAGAAGAACAAACATAGTAATTTACAAATGTGTTTATAAAGATAAGCCTGGGATAAAAATTAGCAGTCGGCTAAAGATGCATATGCATTGATGGTATATTATAAGCTTGAACGAATTAACCACCGTTCAAGATTATAAGTTATAAAAGTGAATTTCGTGAACGTATTTAAAATATAATTATATACATGTATATGTTTTGTGTATGTGTGTAGATTTTATATTATAAAGAGTATTATATTTCCGTTATTATAATATAATATTAGTCTTTTTTTAATTTTATTAATAGGTTTAATATTAGTAGCCCTTTTTCTTCTCATTTATTTACTAGAATGTTCCTTTTATTTTTGACACATATCGCATTATTTTCCACACGTCCCGTATTACAATACCCAAATGCCAAATAGCATTAAGTCCGCCTTTTGTAATACTTCTTATGGTTTATAATAAAGTTTACATAAATAAATAAATTTATGTGCTAAAATGATAATGTTAATAGATCTGTTTAAGAGTATGAGGGAGAAATTTATTCTAAATAGAGTTTCACCTCGCATGATGGATGAACGAGAATTGAGAACAAAAAAAAAAACCCAGTCAAATAACATAAACTCATACTGTTGATAATGTAAACAGGGAGATGGAATTAACCACGAGTCGAGTATACAAAGTAATTATATTATTTATTTGTATCACTATTTCATTAAGTTACGTATGTCTTGCAACGCAATTATCTACTTTATGCACCTGTTCTATAAGCTATTTAGACTATAGAATAATCGTTCATTTTGAAACACTTTTAAATTTTTGTTAAGTTATGCGATAACGAATAAACGAAATATTATTATTTTAATAAAGTTTTGAAATAGATCCGTTATTTTATTAATGTATCAGCATTTAGGACTTGTCGCCTACTTAAAACCGAAGCCTGACAGGCGCGTCATAAAACAAATTTATGCGTTGAATAACGGACACTTAAAATTATTTACGATTAAGATGGAAGAAAGATTGCAAAATTATACGGATCCGAATCTGGTGATTTGTCTTGCAAGTAACGTACCCGGCCCGTATTATTATTACATTATCTAGCTTTGCTATGCTCGCAGAAAGATTTTAACCTTTGACGATATAAGGTAAAACGATGTTGCCATTACCATGATCGTACAATATAATAGTGTTTTATTAAATTAAGCGGGTATTGAGTACACGGAGGCATCATGGTCTCATTAGAGGTCGGCCATTCGAACAGTATTCGAGATAAGGTTAAACAATAACTCGCAGATAATTATGTTCCCACCATTATTCATTTAAAATCACTTTAAACATATCAGCAATAAGCGATAAGAAAAGTTAGGATTTCACGCTGAGCGCCGCGATGGCGATCTGGCCCATTACTTTACAGCATCCTCGTAATAGATAGTATTGATGGATTCGGATCGAGCGTGACGTCTAACTGTGATTCAGCTCCCTATTCATTTGTCCATCGCACCGGCCGTAGTCGGTGGCGACGAAATCGACGTGATTTAATCAGTTTTCTGAGGTAGTGACGTCCCGATACTTCGATTGATTGAAGGTATCAATCTCAACGTTTCGTGCGCCGGACGGACCGTTACTGACAAAAAAGGGATTGATCGAGACACGCGTAACGGAAATGGGCATCGTACACCCGTCACGTTGTTGTTCTGACACGAATACCGATACTAATAGATATGCTATGCATTCAATTATCTGTGAATATTAGTTTTGAAATTACGGAAATTAACGAGTTCGAAATCTGTTGAAAATAAAATGGAACTACTGCAAGTAAGCATAGTTTTGTAAGTAAATGAAATAGAAAAAAAAACTGAAGACTGTTATCATATTAACAATAGGATTACGTGAAATTCGTAACGTTATTCAGGGTACATAGATCATTGAAAGGAATAGAAAGTCACGTCATTTACAACATTACAATATGAGTTAATTCGTAGTGTAGTAGCGGCGTAAGAGAATTTTAATGTAAGACTATCTCATAATATTATCCCGTGGGTTCAGTAAGAGGCGACAGAGAGTAATAGGAATAGATGGGACGCAGCACCTCCCTCATAACAACTCAAAATAATAAATATTTTAAATATCCCACGAGGCCATCAACTGGGGAAACTTAATTGAATAAAACTATTATTTAAGGATTTTATCGCGTTTAATTACTTTAATTTATTTTTATTATCCCGACGTTTTGGGTGCTTTACAGCACCCATGGTCAAGGGGGGACTGAGATGTTTGACGTCCCAATGTCATAGTTAGTCCAGCTACCTTCAGTTTTTGAATATTAACTTTTGGTCCCATTTACGCAAAACGAGCTTATAGTATCATGAAGTCTTGCAGTGGTATGCTTGGGTTTGGGTTTAATTTTGTTAATTATAGGATCCCAAGCAGCTGGCAGCACCCATCCACCTTCTCTATTGAAATTTGGATGTTTTTTAAATTTCAATACCCTCGCGTATCATCCTTGGTAAGAATCGGTGTTCTTTTGCGAGGATTTGTGGTTCATCAAATCGAATGTAATGGTGGGGACGATCTTGAACATGTTCGAAACTTAAGCTCAGCAGTGAATATTTGACGGGCTGTAATGAATGAATGAAATGTGAATGATTATGTTACTTACCTCTACTTAGATCGAGTGAAGTGACCTTGCCTTGCAGCATGATATGGTTGGCCGACATTTCAGTGCGAATGTCCCAAAATCTGATCCGTTTATCGAAGTGCCCCGAAATAATGGTGGAGCCAGCGCCATCTGATGTCACGAGGTCGTTGCATGACGAACCAGCAAACTTTGTTTCTGTACCTATGGGAGATTTTAATTTATCTTTTTCATGAAATACATTATATGTACATATATATAATACTTATAACTTAAACTTTTTTTTAACAGAAACAGAAACTTTTTTATTCAATGTTATAAACAATACTTATTGAAAGTCACTTTTTTCATTTATCACTGGTTCGCAAAAAAAAAAACCTCTGTGCTGGGAAGAACCAGCAAGAAACCCAGCGTGACTATTTCTTTTTTCAAAAATAATAGCTTACAATCATGTTTACAATTAACAACACAAGACAAATTAGAAATAGCTTGGTAGTGATCACCCTTAAAGTACTTAATTCCAATAACACAAATAAAACTGCTTGTAAAAACTAAAAGTTTTTAGAAGTTAGTTTTATATTTATATATATAATTTTATGTTATGTTAATAGTGTTCTATAAAAGGTATAGGAAAGCAGATTTTTATGGATATAAGTTATTTCAAGTGCTGATTTTATTTCTTTTAAAGGACTCCAATCTCGAGGACTAATAATTAAAGGTTAGTAACTGTGAGATTCGCGTTATATTTTCTAAGTTTATAACCTACGACATATGTACCATCATGTTGTTGTTGATGATGATAATATCATGATAAAATACATTTCTTTTATTATTTTAAGTAAAATTTACGTAAAGTTTTAAAATAACTTACACATTCTACTTCTGAGATCCCAAATTTTAAGGGTTCGGTCGTGACTGCCAGTGATGACTTTGGTAGGTTCTTCTAGAAATTTAGCCGCCATTACTTTACCACTATGTCCAGTCAATGTGTGCTGTAACAAAATAAACGTAAATCTTTAAAAATAATCCAATTCTTAAAAAAATAAAAATATAAATTTCTTCGCAACCTTCCGCTAAATAAAGTATATTTCTTTTATTTTTTTATTTAGCCGAAGGTTGCGAAGAAATTTCTATTTTTATTTTTATTATAATGGATTTCCGCAAAGTAACGCCTGATTCTATCAATAATCCAATTCTTATTTAAACTGACTGTCTCAATGGTCCGTTGTTTTAAGGGTCTTAAGCGCAACTGCTCTCTGGTTCCGGGTTCGGATCCCGGTCGAGGCAAAAAACAGTTATTAGGTTTTACCGTTAAGAGATTCTTGTTGGAGCGGAGCACACATTCTATCTATTATTAGGTCCACAGAGACATAAATTGCAAGAAACAGACTTCATAGGACCCATAGCTCCTCTGATAGGTACCTCTTCACATTTCTAGAGGGTCATAGCTGATGAAACTCACTCAAACACGTGGGATTCCTCACAATCCTCTCTTTATCGTTGAATTGAAAGGTCAATACATCATAAGGTTGCAATTTACAAAAGGCTATCAAAACAAAACAAAAGAAGATGAACTAAATTCAAATGGATCCACAAAACAAGACGTATTTGAACAAAGTTTAAATATGTCTTATTTTGAAAATTTATAAATTTGCAAAATGTCAAAAAATCGTATTTTTGCACATGGGAATTTGTTATTATTTCATGTTTTATGATTTGTCGGTTAAGTAGTAAAATCGCTCGCTTTTGTGACAAGGTGTTTGAATAAATTGAAAAGGACACAAAAGAATGCAGTTTTGTAGTTATTATTAAATAAAGTAAAATAAAGCACAACTTATTTTAATTGATTAATTATTTTCTGCAATTAATTATAAAATGTCATCTAGAAAAGCATCCGGATGCTGTACGTTGTCTGTTCTATTCCACTCATAACGCTAATATCACATTATTGTCATTATGTGGGCGCAACAACCTACTGTCCCGTAGTCCGAGAGAAAAGGGTTAAGTTAAAAAATCAACAAAAGTGAAAAACTATTTCTATCCACAAGCACAGCCACAATGCAAAACGCGCAAACAAAGTTATCAAGTTAAGTTACGTAGTACTATCATTGGGTGCGTTTGGCAGAAAAAAGCGCTAGCAAGCGCTTATAAGCGCTGAAATAGTTTTCGGCCAGGACACGATTGCTACTTCGGTAGCGCTGACACAATCCGCCATTTTGCTTATTTAATTTTGTTTGTTTTGAAGTAGAGTTTATAAGTTGTTTTGTGCAATATTAGTTTTAAGTAATATAATGACATGAATAAACATATACATGTTATTAAAATTCATGATTGGTAAGATTTTAATATGAATACTTTACAAACATATATTTAAATTAGGTTAGGTTTCCCGGTTAAAACTAACATCGTGTCCTGGAGGAAAATAGCTACTTACGATATGACAGCGCTTACCGCTTACGATCGCCATTTTGCTTACAAGCGCTTGCTAGCGCTTTTTTCTGCCAAACGCACCCATTTACTCTGTGGTTAAGTCTCCTTCGACACAGGCAATGATCAATGACCATACAGTCTGTTCAATCATGTCAGATAATATTCAAACGTTTTTTTAGTTTAATAACATCATGATCTATTCAATCGTTTTTCTAAATATATTTCTTTAATTCAATATTAATCTCTACAGATTCGCCTCAATGTTTCAGTATTAAAATTTTTTTGATAACGAAGGCTATTTTATTATAAAAACAGCCTCCATTATCTAATGGCATAGACAAAATACAGAAAAGTATTTCAAAACGTTTAGTTTTTGCTATAGTAAAAGTATTAGCTTTCGTTTTTCAGTTTTAAAAAATGTTTTTCTGATTGTCCCATGTACTACAGAAATAAAAACTATTTATTTATGCTTATAATTTATCGTTTTATTACCTACATATTTTTGTATAACTTTTACAAACAATGTGCACCTAATTTTATATATCTACTTTGAATATAAAATAGGTAATGTACAAAAAGGAAAAAGAACCTTACCAAAATTAATCAGAATCTATAAAAAATTGTTTATATATTATCATAGCAACTAAAACTAACCAGAAAAACATTACCTATCTAATTTGGCTCATTTACTACAGTCTTTCTCAAATCCATGATGATGATCATTACAGCCATTCACAAGTCCACTGTTGATGATCGCATCCCCTCAAAATACAACTTTTATTTTATTTAATTTTACTCGTAAGCATTTGGTAAATCAGCAGTATGTGTGTAGAAAACCGGACGCCTTTTTTACTGAAAACAAGTCAACCCATTTTAGTCCTCAAGGGTGACAAGGCTTCATCATTTCGATTTTTAATTAAGAATAGATATAGATGCCTTCGGGCAATAGCATCCATACCATACCATCACATGGAATGTGTGCTCGATTGTCACCCTTATTCTATAAAGAAATTACTTTAAAATCAAAATAAAAAAAGTTATTTAATCACGTAAAAATCAATTGTAATAGTTTCATTCAATCTCAGTTAGTCAGCTTAGTTGAATAAAAATTCCTTAATTTGATAAAATATTATCAATGTAACAAAAAAAAAAAACACAATTAGAAAGTTGGATTTCATTTTAAGAAAGATTTTGGCCGAATTAAAATTCTTGTCAATTGAAATGGCATTATCAAAACGATAAAAAACAAAGAGTCTGTTTCAATGTGTTCTTTACACTTTGGTTTAATAAGAATATTTATTTTTCTAATGATGAAGAATAATTCACGTTTTGACAAGTCAGAAAACAATTCAAATAAATAAAAAGTGTATAAACCTTGTTTTCCCGCTGTAAGCAAGACATTTAATAATTATTTACGGGACGTAAATGATTGTGGGAAACAAATAAAAATAGTAGCGCGTCTAAACTACGAAACTCGTTCACTAAACGAGAGATTCGCTTCAGTTCGTTGTAGGGTTTAAAAGTGGAGATTAGTTATGAAATGCGAGTTGGGCTACCGCCAGTGCCAACCGACACTGATAGCCATTTACGTTCAGCTCCCGGCTTCCATGATGAACGATTATTGTGCTCTGTTCAAGGCATCGTGATCTCTTCACTCAGTAGCAGTAAGCCACCGACGCCTCACGAATTGTTTCGTTATGTGCCGCTTATTTGCATTCAAAGGGTCTATTAATTTAATCAGACGACATGCCGTGTTAAAGTGTCAGGACGGTGCATTGCGACTTAATACATGCGACCGGCTTCAATCGTTTTTTTTTGCTGAAAATTACAAGGTAGAATTTACAAGGGCTCTCCGCCTGTTTACTGAGAGTTACGGTACACGGGACGTGATGTGTTGTAGTAGGTTCAAAGTACAACCGACTCTTGAGAGCCATGGTAGCTCAGATGGTTAAATGGTTAACGCTCGCTGTAAATATATCCGACCGCGAGTATCCCGGGTTCGATCCCCGCCGGCACGAATGAAATTGTTAATTGCAATTTTAAGTGCTGATTTACCACGTGCTCGGCGGTGAAGGAAAACATCGTGAGGAAACCGGCATGTCTGAGGTATAAGAAAAAAATATTTCGAAGACATGTGAAGTTCGCCAACACGCATTGGGGCAGCGCGGCGGACACTTCCAAAATCCTATATATATCTAAATACATATATACATAAATAAACACTCACACCTATCACCCAGAGGGGTTTATATAGTGTTATTATATAATATTAATTTACGTACGGGTAGGTCCGCTCTGAAGGTTATAAAGAGACCCTATAATTACAAGCTGTGAGGCATTCCACCTTGGGCCTAAGATGTGATAACGCTGTAGCCTTCTTCGTTTGAAGTTGACTGCAAGTGTCCACGGACTGCAGAAGCTTACTCCCCACATCAGGTGGACTGTAAGTCCGTTTGTCGCTTTAGTTTAATATAAAAAAATGTACATTTTGACCATAGGTTTGAAACAGATTGAACATGCGTAAAAAAAAAAGAACAAAAATTAAAGTTTATACGTGGTAGAGCCACGCTGCAGCTATGTTATAGTTGTAGCACTAATGGGTCGGCTCGACCGGGGAAGGACCACGCTCTCACAGATTACCAGTGCAAAATGGCAGCTTAATACTGCTGTGTTTCGTAGTCAGTTTAGAGATCCGGATACCCTTTTTTAGTGGAAAGGAGGCATTCTATCTTATTCCTCAGAGGTGACAACGAATTTGCGTTTTGATTCTTAATCGAGGATACACGTAGATGTCTACGGACCACAGCATCCACTTACCATCAGGTGAACTGTGTGCTCGTTTGTCACCTTATTCTATAAAGAAAAACTGTGAGAGTAATGCCTGATAGTGAAAAATTATATAAGTCGAACGCAGTGAAATGCCTCCGTAACTTGGATTAAACCGGCGAGGTGACGCTGCCGCCTGACCTTCCCTGGCGTTCTTAATTACCAGCAAAACGCTCCGTTATTAGACGGTCTAGCTAACGATTCCTATTTTATTTGCGCACGATGAACAGTAACATTAACAAAGATCAGGGAGGCGTTGAGCAAGCAACACTACTTTGCACTCGACTGCTAAGCTAGTACGTGTTACATAAATTAAAATGGGGCTATCGTTTTTTATCGACTAGTTTAAAACTATGATAATTGTTTAGAAAAAGATATCGGAGGATATCCGTTTTACAATAACACATGAAGCAATACTTAAATATTAATAATATAATAATAAAAAACAATAATAAATATTAATAAAATTAAACACTTAAGTAGATTAAAGTAACATGTACATACTAATTTAGAAATATTATTAAATTATATTTTTTATAATGTAAGGGGGTCTATCGATTAAGAATGAAAATGCAGATGCGTTGTCAGATGTCACCCATGAGGACAGATGGAACACCTCGTTTCAAGTAAAAAAGGGATCTGCGGTTGTCTACACTCACCATACGAAATACAGCAGCATTAAGCTGCTATTTGTACTGCTTGCGAAGCAACATAATGCTGGTATTCCGTGAGAGCGTGGTGCTTCCCCGGTCAAGTCGACCCATTCGCGCTACAACTGTAAGCTACGTAGCTGTCACAAATACCGGAACCGTAAGTACAAGCTGCACCATGGCTCTATCAGGCTTTTTTAAACGTATCCTTTACAAACGAAATGAATAATGTTTACCTTACTTCAAAAATCCGGCGAATATCCAACGACACGATGAATTATTCTGTTACTGAAAATCTGAATAAATTATCTCGTAAGAAGAAGGATTTATTTGGAGTAAATAAATTTGCAGAGCGCTAAAACGTCTCATGTGATAACGTGTACCAAGAGCGCTGTGTTTCAATAACAAACGGGACATTATCGTCGCTTATAAAGTTTATAACAGCTAATTAAGAGTGCCCTCATTTACGTTGATCTCCGCGTCACGAGTGTGGGGCGTTTATTTACTGTTTCGGGTTGTTGCGACGATAGCCCGTCCATGCTAATTGAGGAGGTTACTCGATATCATCCAGACAAGCACCACAACTCTAACGAGCTAATATAAACCGCCATCGCATCTCTACCGGGTTTAGATTACAAATGAATGGTCTAAGCAACACAATGAGACCATATAAAAACGTTATTTGTACGCTGAGACCGCGGTACTGTCTTATACACTAATTTGACTTTAATGCTGATTTTAGAACGACAAGCCATGGCTCTGTTGCTTCAGGCCTATTTATTACAGTTACAATACCATTATTATTATCACTCGCTTTTGTTACGATGCTCCCTTTTTTTTAGCATGTGGAGCTGTTTTTCTAATAAGCTAATATGCGATGAATTAGTTCGGGGCTTTAAAATTGTAGCTATTTCACTGTTATGTTCAGTTACTTCATTAAATTTGTAAGAAACTAGAAAATATTAAAATAGTCAATAAAGCCTTGCATTCGTTTTAAAAGATGGGAAGTTCAAGTGCTTGGATTTGCATGATGAGTGGTGTCACATAGAGCGTCCTATGTCACAGTGTTTGAAATCCCGTTAAAAAGATATATACACATTAATAATATCGACAAAAAGTAGAAAGAGTTCAATGAACCGTATTCAGACGAAACAAACATATAGTTCCAGGAATGGGAGACCCTTAGAGCGCACTACATACGAGTACATTGGTCAAACTTATCTTTGGACTATGAATTTGAATATCTGAGTGCCTGCTAGAATATATAATAAAGTCAGTGTTCCATGCGAAACTGCTCATTCCTAATAAATCTAACTGATTTGAATTGCACTTTCTCATTAGTGATTCAAGTTAGGGCACGTTGGGTAGAATAACACAATCTATTACTTTGGCTAACAATTAATAAAGGAGAAGTAGCATGTTCCGTCGGCATTACTTATGAGTTAATAATAGGTTAATCTTGTTTATACTAAAATATTACGTTTATGCTCCAAAGATATTTAAAGAGTAATACTTATTTAAAGTCATTTATTCTTTTATCAATGATTCGTAAAAAATTTTTTACCTAGGAAGAACTTGCAAGAAACCCAGCGGGACTTCCTTTGTTAAAAAAATAATGTAATGTATTTCACATTTAAATATTGTTATTATTATCTCCATTTATTGATATCGGGTTCGTCGTTACACTACCACAACAGAGTCACAGAGCGAAACAAATCAGGGCATTGGCAGCAGCGTCTTCCTAATAACGACCAAAATTATAACAAAACTACGGTTGCTAACTCGATTTCCAAGCGTGGCAACTATGGCAAATATCTCCTATGAGGCAATGAGTGAGGGAAGCCTCTGTTCAGCAGTGGACTTTAATAGGGTGTGACGGTAACATGAGGGCATGGGACCAACTCGCAGAGGTTTTTTGGAGAATTTTACTATACTTTGTGATGTAGTGTATGTTGTAGGCATAGAAATCTAAATTATTTAAATTTCTGTGGTTACTTGTGGTTTCTGTTGTGTGTGTAGGCCTCACTCCACATACATAGTAAAAATGTATCCGAAGAAAAGGCTCAGAAAATACACAAACCACTGGCAAAAAAGGGGAAAACGAAAATGTTGGGCAATGAGGTTGGGATGTCGATGGGCTGAAATACAGAACTATGGAGGAGAGACTCTGGACACTTGCCGTTATTTTGTCTCAACGGATAAAAGGTTGCAGGTGGTGATTCGCCGCTTACTAAATTACTAAATCTTAACACTGCAATCTTAACTGACTGCGAGGCGTCACATTTGTGCAAACAGCTAAGGGTGTAGATGGGTGAGTCTGCTGATGATCCTTAAACAGTCAGCATCCTCTCGGCTTTATAACAAGTTTAAAAGCTTAAAGCTCTAGCAGTATAGTTCTAACTCTAAAGTCTAACGCTCCACTTTGGCTAGCCGAAAACGGCAAGTCTAAAGCGGGCGGGGGGGGTGGGGGTTGAAATTAAAAACTTCCAGGGAAAACTCAGTTATGGCTCCTGGTGATGCCACTCACCATCAGCTCGCCATAAGCTGCCGTGCAGGCTTATTATTATTGGTATAAAACGCAAGATTTCAAACGACATTAGAATATGAAAATAATTAAAATATTATAAAATAACTCCCAACAAAAGCTTAGTATATGGCGGCCCAATTGAAGCTTCACGTCTTAAGTGATTCAAAGAAAAAAATGCAGGACCCAACTCTTCCTCATTCAAAGTTTAACATTCAGTGTTATAAATGTTATTCATTTCGTTTCGGTGGTATTTACAAGCGAATAGTTTAAAATTAAACCAATGTGCCTCTTTAGATAATGCATTATTCACTTCGTGATACTTAAATGTCGTTTTAGTTTAATAATAATAATAATCATTATAATCTTTATTTGTAACAATGTTGTTGTACAATGGTGTTCAAGTATAATCACTGAAGTATCATCAGCAAGTAGTAATACCTCGTAGTTATTCTCTACTTATCTTGTAGTATAAGGGTGACAAACGAGCACATAGTTCATCTCTTCGATAGTAAGATGATGCTTCTTGATGGCCTCAAGATATCTACATCTATTCTCGATTAGCATAGTAAGGAATAGTTGGCAGCCGAGGTAGCTCAGCTAAGCCGTAGTAAATTTCACAGTAAAGAATTGGTAAAGAAAGTAACTTGTGTTCGATCTCCACCGACACCAATGCAATAGTTTATTGCAATTTTAATGCAGATTTATAATGTGCTCGGCGGTGATAACCGTGGAGAAACCTGCTCGTGAGGGAACTTGCATGTCTGAGGAACAAAATATACAAGAAAATAAAGACGAGGAGCGGGGTGAATTAACTGCCACTTAACCATTTCAGACTGTGAGGGGGCCTTGATGTGTGCTCAGGCGTGGGACACGTAAAGGCTTTATATGTACCCTGTTCAAACGAGAGCTTTTCCTTTTAGTTTTCATACTTAACGAAATTAGATAGAGCTTGTTGATACCTACATAAATCAGAGGTCACATACGATTTGTTATTCAAGGATGAAAATTTTTGATGACATTTCACTGGTTACTTAAACGTTTCGATTACAAAAATATAGTTAACCTATACCACCACGTTAAACCAAACTATTGAGTGAAAAACGGTTTTAAAAGTAAAGTAAAATAATTGCCGGTAGTTTTCAAATTAAAAGTAAATTCAAATTAAATTGTAAGCTGGGAAATGTTGGGCACACTGTCATTGCTAAAAACGGTGACTACCCAATCGTTCCTTTAATTTTGCTTGAGTTACAGTTGCCTGACTTCAAGTGTCATCGATTAGTGTATTTTATTTTTCAGACACGTAATTTATCAGCACATCATCATCACCCTACACGTAGTGCAACTTTGTCGTAGCAGAAGAATAGGTGGCTTGAGTAGAAACACACACAGTATTAGGGCTTATAGTAAGTGGCAAGAACCGAAGGCCGCCTTTACTAGTACGTTGTAATGCAAACTTAATCCATCGAGGGTTGATAACGCATTTACACTTTGATATTAATAGTAACATAATGGTTGATATCCACGAGCATCACAGCATCCACCTATAATTAGGTGGACTGTGTGTTTGCTTGTCACCGTTACTCCCATAAAAATGTATTTATTATAAAGATTAGAAGATAAATCGGCTATAGGAACTCTAGATGTCTTGTAGGCTTTTAACGTTTCTCTCGGTCGCAGGAGATCTCGAAGTGCTCGCCTGTCATCAGCCGAGCACTTCTAGATCCTGTTGGCGTATTACTTAGTAGATTTTTAAACAATCATGAGATAAGAAGCTTTAATGACGATTCTCCCACGCCGCTAGCACAGTGCAGAATCATTAATCACTGGTATCGGCAACGGAAGTCGAATGAGGCTTGTTCACTTACTGTAAAATTTTAATTAAAAGTTAAAAATGTATTTACACTATTTGTTATATCCACAATAAGGTCGGGGAAAAGTTTCTTCTTATTTTATATTATAAAAATTCAAGACATTTTTCTTAAAACTTTAATTACATATAATTATAATAATATACTTAGGTGTGCCATTTTGGCCGATAACTTGTTGCCATCTATAGGAATTTTTGATAAAAAATTCGACAAGTAGTTTTGAGAGTCCTCTCCTGATGTTAAACTAACACTGCCCAAAGAATTCGAGACCGAAACAGGTCAAAATCTGAGGGTGCACGGTCACGACCCTATGGTGGATGCATTGACACTTCCCAATCAAGCCAAACATTCATTTTCTGTCAATCCCGGCCGTTTTTTTCTTCATTTTCTTGTTTGAGTCTTATTAGTCGTTGGCAGCCCAGTAGAGTGTTCATCCGGGTTTCGCTACAGTCTGTAGAGCTTGACTACCCTTTGATCATGATCTTTTTTCCACACGTTCTTGTCGTAGGTGATCCACTGTTCATCACCAGTGACCAATCTTTTGAAAAAATGGTTCGGTTTCATTACGTTTCAATAGAGCATCACAAATAAGCACACGATGTATTAGGTTTCCTTCAGTGAGCTCGTGTGGTACCCAAATATCGACCTTTTTTGTATAGCCAGATTTTCTAGACAGGTCAAATCTGTTTTGTGGTCAATCCCCTATTCCTCGGCTATGTCGTAACTACTAATACGAGTATACGGATCTTGCTCTACTTTTTCGAAAATGGCATCGATTTTATCTA